AGAGTTGTTTTAGATTTCTAAATTTAGTGCATTAAAAAAATATAAAGATGCGATGAAATTTTTGCAAAGTTAAGTAATATTAGTTTTCGCAAATGTTTTGCGCTTCCTCGGAAATTATCTTCTCTTATCGAGGCACACCGGTCGTGTTATAATTACGCCGTAATTCAACATTCATTCGCGTTTGGATAAACACTCTTCGTATGAATGTACATGTCTTCAAACAATCTGTGTGTTAGATAGATTGTTAAGCTGAATTGAAAACAGCTATATCGGGTAAATTAATTTCCGTGTAATTAGAATTGAAAATAAGTAACGTTATTGTTACGCGAAGCTTCGTGATAAAGGATAAAACTTTTTAATTAATGAGAAATAGATTTTACTTAACAGAGAGAGAACTGCGTTTCAAAATTTATAATTATAACGTTATACAGTATTCAAAGTAAGGAAAATCTGATAAATAATGGATCTCTTTTGACATACTTGTCACGGAAAAATTATCCTCAAATTAATTAATTTTATTTCTATATCTAGAACGTTGAAACATTGTATAAGTGGCAGTACATATACTATTTATAGTCATCACGCAGCGTTTGCTCGCAGCTGAAGAAAACGCCGTTTCTTCGTCGAGTGAAAATTAGTTTCAAGGGAGAAGTAAGAGCAAGGTTTCCAACGTCTTCTGGTAAACGCAATCGCGCCTCGGTAAATATTAGCATGATTCGGTAGAATCGTCAGTTCCGCATTAGCAATTTGGACCAGCTGTGTCGGAAAAGTTGTTACGGGAGTTGAAGTTTGGGTGAAAGGAGAATAGTACGCTCCATAAATTTTGCATAGGGAAAATGGAACAAAATAGAATAAAATTGCGAGCTATAGTTTTTATGGAACAAAATAATGGTCAATAATACGAGACGATTAAGAAGAATAATAATAGGTAACAATACATATGTATAATTATCATTTTCAAAGAATTAATAATAAATTAATATGATATGATGACTACACTGTTATTTCAGCATGAACGACTAAAAAGATAGAAATATCAAGATGAAATCATAAATAGATAAAAATAAAAACTAAAATTAAATTGACAACTTAATGTAGCGACATTCTAAAAAATATCAATATGTTCTCTGAAAGTGAATTAGTGACTTCAGAGCTACAATTATAACTTATGTAATCATCAGCGAATATTTATGGTTTTTCACTAATAATATATCGATTCTTTATCACTTCTAGAAGTTATGATTTTTTATAGATTGAAATGCATTTCAATATGCGAAATATAATCTCTAAAAGCGAATCAGTATATTATTACTGAAAAACAGTAAATTCGCTGATGATTACATCAGTTATAAATGTAGTACTGAAGTCAGTAATAATATACACATTCACTTTTAGAGAATGAATTTAACACTATGTGGTGTTTATATAATTCTCACTATGATTGTTAATATTAATACCAAAATGATTTGGATTTAACATCATGAATTTTAAATCCACACCAATGTTATAAAAATCAAGGGTCAATTTGGAATCCACACCATGTTGGTGTTAATATTAATAAATAACATCAACACGGTGAGAATTATATAAACACTATAGGATGTTAAATTCACAGCGATACTTTTTAGAGTGTCACACAGCAAATGAAATACTTTTTATACAAATTAATTCATGGAGTATGAAAAAAATGGATAACATCAGTTTTGACAGAAAAATAAATATTTCGTTCTAAACAGTCAGATAGTTTGTTGTAATCATTTTTTTCGTAAAGTGTTCTTAGATAAAATTTATATCAATATTAATTCAGTTGTGAATTACGAGATCTCAGAATCGACATAAAATTTGTAAACCTCAAGCAATAACAAATCCACGATAAAAACAAGTTATTTTCGTATACCTGACGAAATTGTTTCTGTTACTGTCAAAAATTGATATTCCTTCAATAATGAACCGTAATAAACTACAAAAGATAAAAGCTCTTTTTATCACTTTTATAGCTTCGTTGCCTTATCGCCCAAGTGTGCGTAACGCTTTTAAGATACTTTATCGAAGCGTGGCTTGTGCAAGTGCTTTGTTCGCGATTCCGCTATCTGCCAAAGGAACGAAGCGATTTCATGAGTATTTTTCTTTTTGGCGGTGGCGGCGAGAAGACTAAAATTTCGCGTGTAATTCGCAATTTGCCGGGGAACGAAAAAGGAGGATAATTCAGGCGGAGTATGTTTCACGGTAACGGTAACACGATGTGTTAATATTTGGAAAAAAGCATCTCCCGGAAGTCCTCTTTTTGCGACTCCCAGGGATAACGACAGTCGCGTGTTGTCGTAAACATGTTTTATGGGCGGTTGTTCCGGATGTGGGTCGGCTTCTCTCGCGAGAGCGAGAGAGTGTCCCTCGAGAGATCAACGGAAAAACTAGTGCTCTGGAATCAGGAGACCTAACATTACGTAGGTATTCGCGAGTACGAGTTATCAACACGCTAATTCGCGGATTCCTACAGAATTATCTCGAACCTGCGATCCTGTTTAATTCGCCGGAGTTAAGTCAGGGAAGCCGTCGGGATTTCCGTTTAATAATATTAGGTTTGGCAGATTGCTTTAAGCCTTGGCAAAGTATGTGTCAGATAGAGTATGCGGAACATTGTATGTATTCCGAGAAGAGATACAGAAGGTTTAGACTTTGCATTAAGTGTATCAAGGGGATCTAATGACACAAATGTAGTTGCTTTAATTTAAAGTTGCATTTCCTGATAATTTTATTTAATATTATTCTTAGAATTAGAATCAAATCGGTTTTTTACGTTAAAATAACATGCATTATTTTAAAATAAATATATATTGTTTTAACATATAAAGCATAATATATATAAAAATAGAGAGCATAAATGTGATATTATTTTGGACGATCAATATTAAATATAGAACATATAAATCATATTTTGAGTATATAAAATATCAATATTCGTGTGTCTTCTAATTGATAAACTAAAATGTATATTTTCAGATACTGGAAACAAATGAGAATATGAGACATAAGATGTGTCACATATAATTTTAGAATTAAATTGTAATAGAAAATGTCTACGTATCATTCTTATACAATTTCTGTTTTTTTCTGAATTTATTAAAAGAGACTAAAAATACAAAAAAATTAATCTCTAATAAAGAATTCATATATAATATATTCCAATATCTATGAATCTTATATCGATATCATTTTGTAATTAAGATAAATGTATATCGAATAACGAATACTGGAATATTCAAATTTTAAAATAGTTTAGTAAAAATAAAAAGATCAATTCTTTCGTTATTATATGTGCCATCCATTGTGAAAAAATACTATTGGATTAATGAATGATATTGAAACAAATAGTTCATTTTAAGGATACAATATTCAATTTGAATAGTTTTCAATTTGAATAATTTTCAATAGATTCTTCATAAGTCTGATCGTATTTTTCCATAAAGGATATGATGTATAAATCCGTTTAAATAATAATGATATGCAATGATGCATTATGCATATAACAACATTTAAAATTTTGCATGTATTTTAAATACATATTTCTTAAATATAAATGTTTTAAAACTATAACGCGTCGATATTTAAAGTGCATCATCAGGAAATATTTTACTTGAATAAAAAAGGAAAAAGAAATAGAATAATTTTTAAGAGATAATTTTTTGCTGTTTTTCTGTTTATGATTGTTACACGAATATACGTTTAATAAAAGAAATAAAGAATTAAGTTAAATGTCTTTTATCAGATAAAAGACATTTAACAACTGATACAGCAATTGTTGCAAAGAAATCAAGATGCTCGAATGCGATTCGAGGATGACAATGTTCCACTTCCCCCACAGAAACCGCGACCCTATCGATCCACTAATAAAACACTCCTACGCAGGCCAATCGCTTATTCCTCCCCTTGACCGCAGGGAGAATCGTCAAGATCGATACACGAGGTTACCAAGGCTTTTTGGCGAATTGCCCGATTAACTTTTTTATCGACTATTATTTCGAGATATCGATAGCAGAATTTGTTGCAGCGCAAATTCGGATTACATTGTGCATATATTATCCCCAAAGTTATCAACAACATCGGTCGGGACTGTAGAATTTACATAGCATTGCACTGGGAGATTATTCGATAAAATGTAAAACTTGTTTATTCAACTTTTGCATTCGTTATCTTCTGTTGCAGATATTAAACTACAGTAATCGTATAGCAAACAAAAAGCTACATGCAGAATAATATTTGAAATTACGAAATTAAAAAAGAGATTAAATTCATAAAATTTTAGAAATATTGTGCACTGAAAAGTTTCTGTTTGAAAATGAACGAATCAAAAATTCTGATCATATCGATCAGAATCCTAGCTGATTATCTCAACTGCAATTATAATAGATTCAACTAGAAAATTCTAATTTATCTCTATTTTCAATCAGAATTCCAATTAATGTTAATTCTTGCGAAAAGATAATAGATTATTATTCATTGTTATACGATGTTCTCATTCCAACCTTGAAGATTATTAATTAAATAACCTTGACTAAAAATAATAGGCACTTATATTTTTTTCATCCATCTAAAATTTGTTTACCTGCATTGTTATCTATTGGTTACCGGCATTATAAATTTTTCAAAAGATAATTTACAGCAAAAGCTATAAATTAATTTTTGAGCTGAAACTTTAAATAGCAATTAATAAAATGCTTAATATTTTCAGTCAAGGTTGTAAAACTGGAAATTTCTAACTGCTAGATTTTAATTCAATCTGGATTTGAAATTATGATCAATTTACGTTTCAAATGCCGAAATGAAAATAACGCCAATTTAGATTTTATCATGTTAAAATTTGTGCTCAAAATTTTTATGAAGAATCATTCAACGAAACGTCAAGATACTACATTTTCTAAGCGAAGGAACTTTCGAGGAGTCTTATTTTGTCGATTTCACGATCAATTGCTATATCTCTGAAACTTTTATTCTGTTCACAGCCACGTCAGCGGTGATAGTGAAGTCAGAAAACGAGCACCATCATCTAGCAAGTATCTCCGGGGATAACATCCTTGGAACGGGGGTGAGAATAGGACGTGGCGAGGACGCAGTCGCGAGTGGTAGCGTCAGCCCCGTTATGGATTCGGCGCAATCGGCCATGATGAAGCAAGCGGACTACGTCGTAGGTCAGTGAACTAAATTCTCTCTCTTACGAATATAACGACAATTTCTTCAATTCAGTAATAAAGCATTCGGTTTTAGTCAACAAAGATTGAATATTCCGATAATCACAAATCATTATCGTGTTATCAGTATCTGTGTTGTCAAAGCGACAAGTGTTCCGTGAATTGGTGACGTTCAACTTAGATTCGCACGTGAAAATGGAGGTTTTAGTCTCACACAATATTTGATGGTGTAATTGCAAGGAAATTTTTCGAAAAGAATATAATTTTCTAAATATTCACTCGTGTTTAAAGAACAGAAACGAAAGATATTAAGAATGTCTGTAGGTTGCACCAAAACATTATCGAAAATATAAATCTTTCATAGATTGGTCTGAATATCTATGTCAAAATTTGAGCACAATTCTCCTATTGATTTAAAAATTATTTAATTTTTGTGTTAATTTTATTTTTTCTTTATATAAAATTGTTTTGTAATAATTATTAGGTGTTGGAATTAATTCGTAGCGTTTTTTAATGAAAGAATGTTATTTATTTCACATGAGCATTAAAAAATACATTAATGAAAGTACTTCCCATCAATTAAAAAACGCTACGAATTAATTCCAACACCTAATATTTGCAAATGTGATTTGTAGCAGTACAAATTAAATCAAATTTTTTATACATACTAATAAAGGTCTAATAAATATTCATGCGAAAGTTTAGAATCTATTTACATTTAAAAATTGTTTATTTAAAACTGCGGCAAAACATGATCATTTCGTTACATAAAGCCATTAAAAGTCAAATTATTCGTTATTTTGTTTTTTACAGTTTTAGAACATCTTTATGATACAAATTTGTTGGCTAGAATTAGCTGATATCGATTTGTTTACTTGATTGACTAATGTTTTAACTGATATTTTTGATGCAGTCAAAAACATCCTTAAAATCCATAAATTTGAAAGAATGTATAATAATGTAAATACGTGACATTTAAAAAAATGGAATCTTTATGGAAAATTATAATGGAAGATAATTTTAAATAGACTCTTTTCTATTTTGTAATAATAATTTCGTTTAATACGTAAAGAGAATTTTGAAGATTTTTTGCATTGAATCAATATTATGTTCAAAAAGTTCTGGATTTTTATTTTATTTATAATTTTGACTTCAGCCAACCATATTTCACGTGCAAAAGAAGTTAATGACCCGAGTTATCGACAACATCAAAAACATTATCTTACTCGGAAATGATTAAAATCAGTAGATACCACAATAAGATAAGATGTAGCGCAAAGGTTATCTAATTATAAATCATATCTAATCATGATAAATACGAGATTCCTTTTTCAATGCAAAGCGCTTGAATATAAGCTTCTGAAAGCTGTTAATTTAGGGCAATTAATTTTAAGAAGCTCAGTAGCTGATACCAATGACGCGATAAGCGATATGATTTCAAACATGATTACGAAATAATTCATAGTCACCCTCAGTAATGTTTGCACGATTTTCATAAATCATCAATAAAAATATATCATCAAAAAGATATCAATAAAAATTTTTCAGCTATATTTGTAACGAAATATCAGAGTGCGATTGCAATCGATTTAATCTGAAGCTTATGTCATTTATTACATGTGTATCGTGTTTTTGAGAGTAGAATTGAAAAGGTGATAAAAAAATTATTGCAGTTACGAGTTAACTTCTAAGAAAACTAAACTGTTTAATCTATTACTATGATGCACAAATAAGCTATACATATTAATGATTTTTTTGTAAAAATGATTATTTTTTCTTATAACTTTATTCAAATGTGTCAATAAAACTTGCTCAGTAAAACTACATATCTTTTAATTAACATAAAATTCATTTTATTAACATGCATTATATTACATTATTTTAAATTGTTTTAATAATTACTATCTTTACTTAATCATTTGAATAAAAGAATATATATATAAATATCTTATATTAGAATAGAGAACTTGTCCTTGTTTTTGCTTTTGATTTCTGATAATAATTATTCTTATCTGCAAAATTTAAATTTAAATATTATTTATTTATTAAAATATAGATTATATTACACGTAAAGGAATATATAAAATAAAGATATCATACTCTTTTCAAATAAATAAAATTTTATATAATTATTTCTATTTATTAATAATTATTTCTTTTCTTATCACCTTTTCAAAAATTTAACTTCGAAAGTACTTTAAACTATAAATAAAAGAGATAAAATATTTTGTCTATAAATAGAGGAGATAAAATATTGTAATCGTCTTTTCATTTTTTTTCTAAAGTGTTTCAATAAATTCTTAACGATATAATAAAATCGATATATCAAAAATCATTCATAAAATATACATATTAAAAAATCGATATTAAATGAAAATCGATGAGATTAATATAAAAAAAGAGATATTTCCTAAATGCAGCATATTCCAAGATTAATCGAATATTATAATACTATATACAGCACGAAAATATACTCTTTTCAAGAAGTTATTTTTAAATTTTGGAGAAATATACTCCACAATATGCTAAATTTATTTTAAAAATAAGAATATTACTAGGATTTATGGCCGAATTATTTAACATATTTATGAAATTTAAGCACTGTATGGTAATGATAAATATGAAATTATAAATGAATAGACAGAAAGAAAAAAATTTCATATAGAAAGAAATTTGTTGTAAAAAGAAACTTCAGTCACTCGCCGTAGCGGGTTCAATACGCCACAGTTGATGACGTTCAGCGAAAGATGACGTAAGATCGATGCGAATGGGCTCGCACGATCAATCTTGTATGAATTTTTTATGCTCTCGCGATACATATTTTTAAATCATTTCATTATTATATTATCGATCAAATATTAATATTTTAACATAAGATTTATTATTATTTCGAAACGATATATTTTAACGAATATTTTAACGCAACTGACTTGTGTGGATGACGTATGTATATTAAAAATATTATTTTAGTATTGCAAATTATTATTAACAAATAATGTTATATTATAGCAGAATCAATGTTTGCTTGAATAAAGATTTCCCTTTCAATTTTTTTCTGAAACGATAATTTCTCTTGACTGTACATTCAAGATAGTTAATCCCCATATATATTTATATTAAAATATTTTATTATTAAAAATTACTTCAAACATTATATTATGGCAGAATTCATTTTTTTTTATTTCTTTTGAATTTTTTTACAATTTTTATCTAAAATAATATTTGTACGACGGTACAGTTAATATAATCCATCACTTTGATATCAGAATATAAATATATCATATTCGTTATTATGTAAATGCTTCCGAATTTAAAAAAACTTTTCAATTCATTATCAAACTCTCTTTAAAATTAATCATTCATACTGTCAATATAATGATATTTTATTATTAGAACTATAAATATATATGAAAAACAACAAATAAATAGTAACTTTTCATATTGGTGTATTTGCCTGACGACAGTCAGGCAAACAATAATTTTATTAATTCATAAAATACTGACAGCAATTTGCGATGTGAGAGGTTCTGAACGCGAGCGATCAAAGTGTATCGCTAAATTGAATCAACACAATGACACAGCACGTTAGCCAATCAATATTAATAAAATCTGCATTATATTACAGATGTTGTGCTGCCAACGGTCCTAATTGCTTTGCTGTTCGTCGGCAATGCGATCATCGTTTATATCATCTTCCAGTTTAGAAAGAGGTAAGTGAACTCATTCATTGTATGTTGAAGTATTTACTAAATATATATAGAAAATAGTAAATAACGTGAATGATACAACTAAATTTATTCATTTTATACGAAATATTTAATCAGTAATATCTAATTAATATGACAAAATTTCTATCCAGATTTTAAGTAACCTGAATTTTTAGATATCACAAAAATTGTAAAAAAAATCCAAAAGAAATAAAAAAATGGATATTGAATTTAGATATCAAATTTATAAATAATAGACGAAAATTTTGCCTTTGCATTTGTTGTCACAAACGAAAATTTTTATATATATTTAAAATTGTTTCTTTTATATCAAATTAAACGTAATTAATTAAATCAATTTATCTTTTTCAAAAGAAATTGTCTTTCATTTTTAATTTTTCTTTATGTGATTGTTTTTCCATATATTTATAGTACAATATTTTATATACATTTAATTTCCACCAATTTTTTGGACAATAAAATAAAACATGATTTCAAACTCACGGATCTGATGCGCAGCAGCAGAGTTGTAATAATAATCTGTAAAATAAAATACGTTTCAATTATAACACTGCTTCAAATAATTAAATATTTAAAAAATAATTGATTACACTTCAAATTTTTCATTTTCAATTCTTTTAAACAGATATTTTGCCAAAATAATTATACAATTCCACAAAAAGATTTTTTAAGTTTATAAAAGATTTTTTTTAAATTTGACAATCCACAGATAATAACATGTATATTTAAAAGACATCATAAAGATACTACATAAAAAGATGCCTTTTGCGAGTTGTGTGAGAATCTAATTGTGATATAAATAATTAAATATAATTATAAATCTAAAAAATATTCAAAATACAGGCATTTCTAAATATTGAATCTTATTTCTAATATCTTTAATATATCTCAAAATAATCCAACGTATAATTTATGTGCACTATATAAAAAATTGAACTTTATTATTCATAGAAATTGAACAAATAAATAAGAAATAACATCAAGAAACGAACAAAGCATTAAATAAATCAATTAAATTAAAATAAATTAAATATAGATGTTTACCCAACGGTTGCTCTGCCGTTGCCCGATGCCTCCCTGGGCCTCCACCTCCTCTCTCTTTCATTCGTTTTGCACTTCTCCAACAAATCACACACACACACACACACACACACACACAGGAACTCAGGAAAATAGGATTCCTCTGATCACACTGTAATATTTAACGATGTTTTATTTCAGTTTAATATACGCGTTTAATATATTATTCTTTCGCAACATTCCAATGATTTGCTACATATAACTTTCGCGTGCACTTTTCGCGATTAGAAACAAAATTGTACACGCTTGTGCTTTATAATTGTGAATACTATTTCGTAATATGATGAAAGGACAAATAAATACGAACAATAAAATTGAGGCTAAACGTCTGCGAAACGAAATACATACCTATATTAAATACTGCAAACGTAGCAATTGCTGTTCTTTGCTAGGCTTCTCTTCTTATAAAAATTTATTGTTAGAAGGTAATGATTAACTTATTTTGAATAACAAAAAATACTTGTTTGGTGCTTTTAATAATTAATTTTCAGTATTGAATTTCTGTAAGGTCAAGTCCCCACTACAAATGCTTTAAAGCATTTGATTCACTCAGAAGAATTTTACGAATTAACCAATTAAAGAATTAATGCAATAATCAAAGCACTCTGATCTCACAAAACACACATCTCAACTTATCGCATTGAAAGTGCACGCCCAGAAACGACGAATTGCTACTCTATTTACAGTTAGACACTAATTAAACGAGACTCGACCGCCAGATCCGTTTCTTACCCGCAGCTCGCAGCGTTCTCTCAGTAACCGAAAAATTCGAATGCGGTGCAACTTCACTCCGATGCCGCGCAACTTCACTCCGATGCCGCGGGAGACGACGCGACTATTGACTTATTTAGGTTAGAAATCAATCGGTACAAAGAATCGATTAAAAGTATGCGATCCAGATTCGGCGTCTTGCGTTACGATACGTGAAAACATGCTTGAAAACACTCGAAATGACCCGTGAAATGCACACGTACTCTCTAAAACTTTCAGAGTGAGTCTCACTCTTAAAGATCGGAAATAGAAGATTTTTCCAAGACTGGGTCACTTTTCGATCTCTTTGCAGTGAGTTTTCATTCCTAAATGTTTAAGAGAGTATTATTTAATGAACAATATCAACGTATATATATATATTTACACATAGCTCGGTGCACCGCATATCCACCACTCCACTCGCGTTACTGGTATTTAGTGGTCAAGTGGTGTCACCACTCCGCACTTTTGGCGCGAAATGATAAGCAAGTCCGAAATCTAGATCCGCCGAAAGATACAAATTAAGCGCGTTTGAAACTGGATAGAGAAAATAATCGACTGCATTCAGCAGAAAAAAACAGTTTTGCAATTGTAAGATTCTTCAATATGGTTTATATATTTCATATTGGTTTATATATTTTTTACATCCAATGAACAATTAATTAAGGGCAACGAATCATTGTTAAAGAATCTTATAACAATTGCAAAACTGCTTTTTCTGCTAAATGCTGAGCGCTCCTTGAAATTTTATCGAATGATTTTTTTGTCTTGTTCATCACTCCTTTTTGTTCTCTTTATTTATCTTTAATCATTTTTAACAATATTTAATATACGTTTTTTCGTATAGAAAGCTTTTCTATGTAAAAGTATAAGCTTTTCTTTTTAAAATTCTTTTTAAAATTTTTTAACATTTTTCGTGATTCTCGCTTTGAGATTAAAATGTAGCAAGGCGATGATATGCAAAGTCGTGACATTACTTGCTCGAGAGAGTTTCATTGTACGAATGATAACAGTTGAGATTAGGACGCGCTGATAATCGCTCGCAGTATGTTACAAAAAAAGTAAACACTCGCCGCGTACTGATCGACGTCACCCATCATAAACATCACAGCTAACGTAAAAATAATCTTATTCTGTTACCATGAAAAATATTCAATTTAGTTTCTTTCTTTTAAATAACGGTTGTCTTTAATAAAAAAACATTTTCTCGATAATAATTTTAAAATATACTTGTTACAAAGTTTAGAAATACTCAGTATTATATATTTAAAATAAAAATTTGTTTTTCCTTGTAAATAATAATATAAAATTAAATCAAAGAAACGATTTTATATAATTCTATAAAGCAAATCAAATTTGTTTTAACTTAATAATCTTGATTGAAGTATTAAACTTATTAGGATTTTCAGATTATATTTGGAATAAATTTGATGCTTGTGATAACTTGTGATATAGATTTGCAAATATATAAATCTTTTAAATATATAACATAATATAAAACAAGTAATTATTACTTGCATAAAGTATGTATTTTTGTGTGTAGTTGTAAGTGATTGTATTTGCAGAATTAATCAATTAACCAATTACAGTTCGAATATTGTCCTCATATCAATTCTTACAACTATAATTTATAAGTTACAATTACGCAATTGTAGACTGGGCTTAAAAGCTATAGTCCTCTTTATACTACAAATGCTTTAAAGCATTTTTTGATTGGACGATCAATAAAGTTCTTTTTTCCGATTGATTAATCAAATGCGAAGTATTTATTGTGCCAAGTGGATCGGAAGTTTACATACGGAATATTACGTTCCTTTGAAATTATTTTCATTTTAAATTCAGGCAAATAAATCAATCCAGAGAGAGATTCCTTTATTTCAAATGATCCGTAATTCAAGATTCAAAATGCAATTCTAATTATAATTATACATGCCATGCAATAAATGAAAATGTTTGAAAATGAGGAATCAGAATGATATATATGTATATAAAATAATGTATATGTAAAATGTGTTAAAATATACTTATACAATGACAGGGAAAAGTTTCCGATCAACATATAATTTTACGATAATTTTTGTCAGTCTGTTTCGTATTGTAAATTTATAAAATTCTTGTTACAATCAACTTAAGAATTACAATCAACTTACGATTTTAAATATTAGAATATACAAAATTAGATACTTGTATACTTTATTTATAAAGATTCTTTATATCTGAGCTTTATGCAACAAAATTATTCATGACTAGAAATTTTTGGCAGCTATTATATATTTACATTAGAATATAAAATTATAAATAGAATTCTACTCTAAATTCTTCCATAAATTAGGCAAGGCTGTTCCAGCCTACTGGAATCTCATTATGTAAATGATATAATGACGTTATGTAATAACTTTGTTTTCTAGCTTATAACTGAATTCGTATACACTTTTGGAATTTAAAGTGGAATATAATTTTATCCAATGTTAGTCGCCTTATTATTTAAAGTTTTAGTTCAAAAATTGATTTATGACATTTACTGTAAATTAACCTTTGTTTTAAGAACTCTTTAACTTACGCCGGTAACCAACAGATAAAAGAATTCTAAAAATAAATGAAAAAAATATAAATGCCCAATGGCGAATTTGATTGAATGCACTACACGCATCTAGTGCATATTAAAGTCATTGTACATTTATTCAAAATGTAAAAATAAAAATGTTTTTTAAATTATAAAATATATATTTTAACAACACAATAAAATGTATTAATATAAAGCCCATTTTAGGCGACTTTTTAATCCATTTCTATATTTATATTAAACACATATCTTCACAGCAATTTGTGTAAGTTTTAATATGCACCAGTGAGCCTCTCTTGAGTGCCTAATCAGATTTATATAATATTTTTACAGCCAAGCAAAAGCTGTATGTTTAATTTTTGACGAGAAAGCAAGAAAGTTACAGTACAGTGTCGAGCGCAGGATTAAAAAGAACGGATGCCTCTAAAATTAGAATCGTTCATAGCTGATAATAAGCATGCCGTACACTGCAAAAAATAAATACACACGCCGCGTGCCAGGCACCTCATCGCGTCGCGCTATGTAAACACGCTCGGCATACCGCAGAATTAACGAACGTACACCGATAACAGTCTCGGCAATACATTCGTATGAATATGTACATTTGGAATTAATTTCGACGAACGAATGATGTCCCGCGTTCTCAGCGTCGCATTAATTCGTATTAACGTTCATGCATTTTGAGAGCTTGAGAGAACTTTGCCCGAACGCTAATTCGACGTTGCGATTTGATTTATGTGAACATGGGCAGATTATATTAAAGTATTATGTGCTTTATTGATTGCACGAATATAGAAGCAATGCAACGCATGCAAATCTTCACCGATGCGTAAAAATAGAAGAAAGGAGGAAGTTATAATCGGAATATGTTATTTCGAATTTCTGTTGAGAATTATACGAAATTTCTTTAGATGTGTATCAGATAATGGCGACTAATTATGAATTCTTAACAACATTATATGTTACATTTAACTGTTAAAAAGTTTACTGAAAGAAAAGATTGACTGAATATGGCATAACGTTTTTAATTGGTTGCAGCAATTAATTTTTAGTTGCGTAGTTTAGTCTATTAAAATCACATTGATATTACGAATAAATTAATGCAACAAAAAATTGGCTGCTACAGCCAATTAAAAATACTATGCCATATTTTATCATCTAATTTGCTACAGCAAATTTTTCTTTCAGTGTAGCAATTAATATTTCTATGTATAAATAATGGATAGTGATATTTATGTGATTATTTATTTAATTGATCGCTTAAAGCCACAAACTTTAAATGACTCGATGACTTATAGTAATTATACTACACAAAAAAATGTGAAAGTAAAAAATAGGAAGATGCGGAAATTAATTGAAATTGATATTATTTAATTCCTTAAGTTTAATTTAAAAAAAATTAATATTGAATAATAATAAAATTTAATTTCTTAATAGAAATTCGATAGAATAAAAATTACACATTTAAAATCTTCTATAATAAGTATAAAATTTAGTAATTAGCTATTTTTATTGTACATCGTTTTTTACATTTATTTCTTTTATTTATGTATAACTTCCATATATATAACATATACGAATATATATAAGGCACGTAAATAAAAAGAAATAATATTAAATAAAATAATAGAAGTAAACTTACATTACAAAAACAAAACATTTTTTTACTATTAACTGTAAAAGTGTTAAAAATTTTACAAAAACCTGAAGAATTCATAAAATATTTAATACGTAAAGTTATTAAAAAAGATTTTAACAATTCCTTTATTATTTTTAATATTCTTATATTATTTTACCTTTAATTTGAACGAAATACAGCGGCATGAAAGACAACGCGTATAATAAGTCTTTTGTTTTCTGTTTCAGGAAACTCTCAGCCACTAATCAGGGCGAAGAGATGGCCCTTCGGGGTCCACCCGACGTACCCAATGTGTGATTCTAAGGATCCAGATTAATCATGCACGTGGTGAGCGGTACCGACAAGAAGTCACCGATGTCCACGTAGAGATTGGGAGCCATCATGAAAATCGCTGCAGGATTGATCCCCCGATTCTCGAAGGAAGACTTCGAAGTTCTCGCGATGATCCTTTGCAATTAATTGAAAAGCTGCGCCCAAAAAGGCGAAGAGATATGCGTCTATTCGCAACATTCGAAGTCGTGTGCGTGCATTCTGCCGTGCAAAACGTGGCTGCTCGAATTCCGAGATCCTTCGCTCATATCATCCGCATTAATTTGAAAAAATAATGTTTGGACGACGTTACGCTGGACACTAAAAATGCGTGAAGAATGTAGATTCAAAACTATAAATATTATATATTTTTTCTCGCACGTTTACTGCTAAGCGTATCCGATTGATTGCCATTTCACGTTGATAGCGAATCGTTGAACACATTGCATTTGCTAGAATTGATTTAAAAAAATCATATTCGAAAGTTGTTGCGTTTAGAGCAAATTAAGGCCCAGTGTCTCATAAAAGCATTTTAAATATAAACGGACTATACATTCATTGGTTCGACGCCATATTATTCGCCTATTATGTCTTACATACGTATATTTGCGTTACCCTGTATTATAATGTAAGGAAATAATATATTCTATATTTCGTCCAAGATTGTAGATAAGTTAAAAATAAATCAACGTTTTCGTAATAGCGTTGTCAAAATTTTTGTTTTAATCCTTGTTTCCAATGGATCAATTTTTAAGAAATGTGCTAATCATTCTTAAACAGTCATTCATAAATCTTTAAAGGACTTGAAAAAAGAAAAATTTCTCTATCAGATTATTATTCTGATTTTGTTTTAATATCGAAGTTCTATTCAATAATTATTTCCTTATTCCCCATATAAGAGTTATACAAATTTTACGTCATATAAAAATTAAAGTAAAATTAAAAATTTTAAGTATTATATTTCTTTAAAGTATCCCTTTTTTGTTGGAATACTTCGCACATTATTTATAAAAAAAGGTGCTATTAAAAAAGTGTCGTTAAATATAAATATATAACGAATAAATAAATTTAAATATTGATAAATATATTATTATTATTATTTATTATTTAAATATAAATATATAATTATCATAGTCTAGGCTTCGAAACTAATTTTATATTGTTTATACTTATAAAACGTATTCGCTGCCCATTTATATAGAGCTTATTGCACGCATGAATACAATCTATGGAGTTTATCGTACAGTGTAAATGTTATTTAGCACAACTTCAATAATAATGCCAATATTTTATTGATACTTTCGACTATGATAATATCTTATTAATGTAATCTGTGCATCTGTGAGTTGTTACTCATATTCTTTTACGAAATTAAAGAATTTATGGAAGGAGAAATTTTTCTATGAGATTGTCGATTTCTTTTAGTTCTATTAGAGTTACACAATAAAAAAAATCGGTTACACGCTCATCAATGGACACACTTTTTTCAGAGTTGGTAAAAATCATGTTTTAAACATGTTTTATATTTATATACATACTGAAAAAAGAAAATGAAGTAAGGAAGAAGCAAGTAAAGATATATTGTAGATAGATAAGATAAGAGTAACAAGGAAATATACATGTTTAAACCAGTACGTTAGATTTACAAAAAAATAGTCAACATAAAGAATGAATAGATCTGTGAAGATATGATAAAAAAGAACACGAGCCAAGCACATTTTTTAACTTATAAAGTTGAAGGTAATCTAGATTCTTCTTCTAACATATTTATTAATTAGCAATTATGATACTTACATTACTACAAAGACTTTTTAATTTAATTGAACCTTTTAATTATTTGGAAGTATACATACGCAGAATTTCAATTAGGAGAGGGACAAAATTATATTCACACAAGATTTATTAAAATATATTTATATTAAAGCCTGTCTTTGAGATTCTTGAGCGAACTTTCTTAATACTTCTTCCTCCATTATCTTTCTTCGCAAGTACTATTTTTTTGTGTACAATTAACAAAGTCCATTGAGACGATTTTTCTGACATTGTTAACCGCAATCAAATTTTTACTCTTCGCAACGTACTAAACGATCTTTCAATTGTGTACGGTTGAGCTGAAGAAATATGCAAGACATATTTTGTTACTGGGAAGAAAGTCTCAGCTTATTTTAATACCATATTAATTCTTTGAGTTTTTCTTTTTTAATTTTTTATTTCTCCTGAGAATGTACGAAAGTTCTTCTTCTTTGTTAAAATTATTCAAATTGTAATAATCAGAAAGACTATGTACTTATTTTTTTAAAACTTCTAATGTTATAGTCAATATAATAAAAGAATGTAGGACTAATAATGACCATCCAAGAACTATAATCAAAAAGAACAGATCTTATTATTCAAGACCGCAGAGCTGGACAAAATACATCATCAAAATATTTCAAATATAAAATACAAAATATTGACAATCTCGGTATTTGAATTATAAAATACAAAATACTTCTAATCTTTCAATTTTAAAATACAAAGTACGAAATACATTAAAAATTTATTTCAAATACAAAATAGCTTTTTTTAAATACAAAATATAAATTATTTCAAAATTTGTATTTCAAACATCAAAATATTCTTTTTTTGAATACAAAATACAAAATATTTTCAAATTTTTTTATTTTAAATATAAAATATTTTTTAAAATCGTCGATTTTCATTTTTTGACTCGAAAAATATTCGATAACAGTCGTATCAATCAAAACGCTTTCCTTCTAATTTCTTCTACCTGAATACATGCTCAGACAGCCAATATAATTCCTTTGGTAGATCGCCAAATGTAAACCGTTTTATCATTACATCGTACATTGAATGTTACAGCACCACATTGGGCTCTAAGCAGGATTCTATCAAATCCAACTGAAAAATATTTAAAAAAAACTTTATAATATGATGTAATATGATGTAATATAACATAATCTATACAATATAGTTGGGGGTGGACAAAATACTCAAAAAATTATATTTAAATACAAAATATAAAATACTCTCAAAAAAGTATTCCAAAACGAAATACAAAATACTCTCAATAAAATAAAAATATGTTTAAATACGTATTTTAAGTACATATTGTATTTCAATTACCCATCCCTAGCTGATACACAACGCTAGAGATGTCCGTTTTATTCCGCATTATGTGCATGATGATCATTTATCTTTACCAAATGTAAGGATAAATAATACCTCATGCATGAAGTGGAACATATTTTAGGTCGAGTTAACAATGGCGATTTTGACTTTCATCACAAAAATATTTACATAATTTAAATGTATTTAGTACTTACAAATTTAAAATACAAAAATATGTACTAAAATAAAAGTATTTAAATACAAAATACAAAATATTCTCAAAAAAGGTATTCAAATACGAAATACAAAATACAAAAATGTATTTAAATGTATGTAATTCAGAATATAGTAGAGTACCAAACATTGTAGTTGTAAAATCCTGAAATTGTTATAACAACTTGAAATTTTATTTAATTGAAATGTATTTAATCCATGTCAGGGCATTATGAACCTTGGGTTGAGTTCCATTTGTTTGACATTCGGCAAACGACAAGGATAAAATGCTATATCATGTGCATTATGCATGAAACGGAACGCAGCCTTGGACAGAAGAATAAAACGACACACTTTGAGATTGATCGGCGATGGACTCAAAAACCCATCTTATTAACTCTTCTCCTTTTTATGACTCATGATGCCCCGGTCTCTCTTACCTGTATTAAAGTAATAAGGAAAGCCAAAACTGTACTGTACATCTGAAAAAATATAATTTCATCACACTTAATAAAAATATTTGTGTTAAATTATTTATAAAATTAAAAAAAAATTTTTGTACATAAAACAACCATGAAAGGTAAACAAATGCAGTTAATTGAGAAGTGAATCCAATAAAATGTTACTACTTAGATATTTATTATTAATTTGCAGGATTTTTACCTGACAAATGAAATTATATCCATAGCTAAAATGTCCCACACCAAATTTTATCTTCTTAAGTCTTATTTGCAATATAAATTGTAAAATCTAATTGAAATTAAATAATTTAATGAAATGTTAGATATATATACTACCTTTCATAAAAGTTCAGATACATGCATAAACTCTATTAAACGACAATGTAAAAAATTGAGACACTGTTATAAAATATCAAATGTGCTACATTGATAGGTTGCTTAAAGAAACAACCTATCTCTTAAGTTAAAGAATATTTTCTTATTTTTACTTCAATATTATTCTCTTGAATTAAATCATTTAACTCTATTATTTTAGATAAGTTAACGGCATATTAAAAAAAATAAGTGGCGATGTATAGAAATGATTGAAAATATCTCAAATTGGATACAATTCAGCATTATGAATTTAATAGAAGATATATTCTTTTATATATTTTAGACTACTTGTATGCATAACGCTAATTACAAAAGTTTCATAAAATGTTTTCAATTTTATGCGCTAAAATGCACTGTTTATTTCGTAGGACATTGATAGCATAATTATTAAATTACAAATATTCGCTTTTGTGTATAAAATAAAAAATTTTATAAAACTTTCTAGCTTACCCTACCAATAGTGTTAATATGTACAAATAAATATCCTATCTTAACATGACGCTTAGATAACACAGTTGATATTTTAATTATCATGAACAAAAATGGACGCCTGACAAATCACATAACAAAAATGAATAATATAATTGCTGTTTTATAATGTCCCAACTTTTTTATATAATCATTCCATGAAATTTATGCATATGTCCGAACTTCTATGAGCGATAGTAAAATTATCCATAAAACAGTTAAAATTCTACATAAAATTTTGTTGTCATTATTTACCAGTTCACGTAACTCATCATCGAGGTTATAATTAAACAATTTGTGAAGAATTGCTTCTCTTTCATTTATCTGAAATTGTTTTTATACGATATAAAAATTTGTATATTATATAAAATTGAAAATTTTGCATCCAAAAGGTCACATCATTGGAAAGAAAACTTTGATATGTGTAATTTTAATGTTGCAAAATTGTTGCTCGTGCTTATATATATAATTCTAGTTAAATAATTAATTATGATTTAATTTTACTATACCTTATAGTAAATAGTTTGACATACATAGTTTAATATGAGAAATAAGATGCTGTCTCGAGTGAAAGTGGAATAATTATATAAAACATCACAAGTATATGTAATTGTCCATATTTCTTTATTTCTATCTGTAAGTATCAGATATGCATTGCCATAGATACTTAAACTTTTTATGAAATACCAAATCATTTGAATTAAAATTGATATTTTGAA